AATAAAATAAAATAAAATAAAATAAAATAAAATAAAATAAAATAAAAAGATTGGACTAACCATTTTGAGAGAAAGGAAAACCCAGTGAGTCAGTCTGTAGATAGAGCATGATTCATCAGATTTGTGTGTTAAGGTTCCTGTTGCTTCTCCCAAGAGAAACCTCATCACATATTTCCTTTCCTCTTCCTCCAATATTGACCTCTGAGACCAACTTTCACTCAGCTAACTCCTCTGCTTTTGTTTCCCCACTCCAGCTCTATTGCAGAGGAGAAAAGGATAATAAAAATTATAGCTAACATGTGCGAGTTTTGTTTTGAGACAAGGTCTCTCTGTGTAGCCCTAGCTGTCCTGGAGCTCACTCGGTAGATCAGGCTGACCTCTGCCTCACTCCTGAGTGCTGGGACTAACTTATGCGCCACCACACCACATTATGAGATTTTTTTTTTTTAAGTTGCCAAAAAAAGGGCAAACAGATCAAAAACCATTTGCAGTTTTTAAGTGGATTTAAGTATTTATGTTCTGGTCTGTTCTTGGCAGGTGGAACTGCACAGAATATTTCTGTCCACAAGACTCCCAGAAGCCCCCTGAGTGGAATCCCAGTGAGGACTGCTCCAGCAGCTGCTGTCTCTCCAATGCAGGTACAGAAGAACCCAGAGGCAGCTCTTTGAGTACCCTCCTAGGTATTCTTTACACATAAGCCTGTGTGCCTGTGGAGCAAGAGGACTTGTAAATCGGGTATACGTCACTCCTGGACTCAGTTCTCTTGACTGCTGGAGCTTAAGACCTGTGACAGTAGAGATAATTGCTGTTTTGCTCTCTACTCGATCTCTTGGCCAGAACAAGGGGTGACAGTAATCACAGTAGAGCTCAACGAATTCTGTTTATCAAGAATATACAGAAGAAGGAATATATCAAAGGAACTTCAAATGTTAATCTCTGGTGAAAGAGTCATTCTTTTTTTTAAAGCTACGTCTACATCTTGTGCGGGTACTTAGTCACTTTTGATGGATGTTCTGGTCATTGTGGACTTAACTTAGTACAAAAACAACACAGTGAAGGTCCTTGTGCAAACTTTTGACCTCTTGAGGAACTATTTCTGTATGAGAGCATATCAGGATTCATTTCAAAATGTTGGAAATTGCTCTAGTTAGCAGAAAGGAATTTAGTTCAGAGGCTTTGGTACTTCAAGGGCTAGGAGAGGTGACGAAAGCCTTAGAGAACTCGTGGGAAAGGTTTTCTAGCATCTCAAGTTGGCCCTTAAATGCGTTTCTGTTTTCACTTGATCCAAAGCATCTTCCCCTAAGTGCTTATCTAGAACCATGGCCTCCATCAACACCTAAGATCAGCTTCAGGACTATACTACCACCATGCATCCATGGCAGCAAAACACATGCCTCATCATACCCACAGAGCTGTGAGATCAGAGCTCCTCTGCAGCAGGAGAGCAAATGTATCCACAGCCAGCAGCATCAGAAGGGCAGCTGCACACTCCTGGACACTTCCTGAGTTTTGAGAAGGGGCCCGAGTGACAGGATGAACCAAGCTTTCAGGAGTTAAGAAAGCATACGCTTTAGCGTTCTAGTCTCTTGTAACAGTGAGCAACTAAGTGTAGTTGAGGGAGCTAGTCCTTAGAATTCTAGAAAAGGGATGTGCATTACTAAAGAAGGGAGGTGGACTGGCTCTGTCCTCACCTATTGGAACAGATGCATGGCCCTTCCATGTACTCTTTACTCACAAAGAAAGTGCTCTTTCCCGAGAGCTTTAACATTCTGTACACATGCCAAGGATTTTAGTAAGTGAGGTGACACTTGGTTTCACTTTTGTGAGTTGTGTACATCTTTATACATGACTGTAATGTTGCTTTATATCTTCCACGTATGTACTTGCCTTTATGTTGACCACTTTTCTATGTGGTTGCATTTTTTTTCCCGTTTATAAGACACTTTGATGTGTTCTCCTTAACCTTTGTTTTATACAGGTTAGGAGCTGGAGAGATGGCTCAGTGGCTGAGTGGATTCACTGCTCGGGTTTAGTTTCCAGCACTCACTTAGAGCCTCATAGCTGTCAGAAACTCCAGTTCCAGGAGTCTAATGTATCTGTCCTCTCCAACAGGCTCCTGTGTTCATGTATATACCCATATACATACATACATACCCACATACATACATACTTAAAATTTTAAGAAAAAAATCTTTTAGAAATGCAAGATGTCTGACTTTTTTTTTTAAGCTACTGTTTTTTTCTTAAGATGTCATAATTACCTTTAACTCAAGAGGTGTGTTTTGTTTATTTTTCTTAAAATGTTTCCTCTGAAGAGAACATTGTTATGTGTCTTCTTTCATGACTTTAAGGATTTTTGTATCCTGGTTTAAATATCTTTTCATTAGCTTATTAAAATATTTTTCCTTGCTATCATAGAAGCCTTTTATTTTGTTGAAACATTTTTCTCTTTTGACAGGGTCTCTCTATGTAACCCTGGCTGGCCTAGAACTTCCTGTGTAGATCAGGCTGGCCTTGAAGTCACTGAAATCTGCCTACTCTTCCCCTCGAGCACTGAGATCAAAAGCATTCCCAAGCCAGGTGGTGGTGGTGCACCCCTTTAATCTCTGCCTCAGGAGAGGCAGGCAGATCTCTGTGGGTTGGAGGACAGCCTGGTCTACAGAGCCAGCTCCAGGACAGCCAGGGCTGTTGCACAGAGAAACTCTGTCTCACAAAAACAAAACAAAAAGCAAACAAGCAAGCAAACAAACAAATAAAAACATTCACAACCATGCCTAGCTTATTTGTTGAGTTTTAGGACACACATAAAAATGAGTTTGGGGCTAAGTGCTCTTCCCCATCTTCACCAAAGCCTTACCTTAACAGCTGTTTGCTTTCTTTTTTCCTTCCTTCCTTCCTTCTTTCCTTCCTTCCTTCCTTCCTTCCTTCCTTCCTTCCTTCCTTCTTCTTCCTTCTTTTTTCAATACAGGATATCTCTCTGTGTAGCCCTAGCTGTCCTAGAGCTTGCTTTGTAGACCAGGCTAGCCTTGAACTCAGAGATGCACCTGCCCCTGCCTTCTGAGTACTGGGATTTAAGGTAGGAGCCACCATGCCCAGCCTAAGTCGTGTAATTTTCAATGGGTTATTTTTTTTCATAGTTGTTGTTTGTGCTACTGAAGACAAAAAGAAGCACTGTAAGACACTCAGAGCAGGACCTCTGGGGTCAAAGGAGCCAGGACAAAACTGCAGCTTTTCCATAAAGTGATGGAAGACAGAAGACAGAGTAACTGAAGGAGAGAAATTGCTTCCAGGGATTCCTTTTGACCTTTGCCAGTACCCTCACATGATGGCATACACATACAGACAGACACATGTACCTAAATACAAATAAATAAATCTTTTTTTAAATCTCATATAACGATAAGAAAATATTATAAATTATTACTTTGTACTGATAATGTAGAAAAATCACAAAATGTTAAATTATTCCTACAAAGGAAACTCCACACTCAAAATGCTTAATAACAAAATCTGAAACACTGAAGGAAGGGAGTAACATCAATATTAATCATAAAATCAGACAAAGACTAGAAAATAGGGATAAACTTTTCAACTCATGAGCCAGGGTAGTTTTATTATTTTTGTTAAGAACATTAAAAGAGAGGGCAATTAAAAAGGTCAGTTTCTCATGAACCTCCATGTAAAATTCTTGAACAAAATTTTGTCAAACCTGATTGAGCAATATAGGAAAAATACCATGGCCTAAAGTAACTTGGGGAGGAAAGGGTTTGTTTTATTTCATCTCACAGCTTGTAGTCATCACTGAGGAAGCTCAGGGCAAGGCAGGAACCTGGCAGGCGTCACACAGGAGTGCTGCTTACTGGCTTGCTCCCCTTGGCTTGCTCAGCCTGCTTTCTTATACCAGCCAGGACCACCAACCCAGGAATGGCATCACTCCAGGGGTTGGACCCTCCCACATCAGCCATTAATCAAGAAAATGCCCTTCAGGCTTGCCCACAGGCTAATCTGGTGGGGCCATTTTCTCAGCTGAGGCAGCTTTTTTCTGAATGATTCTAGCTCATGTCGAGTTGACACAAACTAGCCAGCACAGTCAGATATGTAAGCTGTGTTTTCTTAATTGTGACATACAGGTGCCAGTGTTCATTCATGTGTACTCTCTTTCTCTCTCTCTCTTTTAATTTTATGTGAATGGATATTTTCCCTGAATGTATATATTTGTGCAATGGGCATGCCTGGTGCCCATAGAGTGCCAGAAAAGGATATCAGATCCTTTGGAACTAGAGTTTCAGGTGGTGGAGAGCTGCCATGTGGGTGCTGGGAATTGAATCCGGTTCCTCTGGAAGAGCAGCCAGTGCTCTTAACCACTGAACCATATCTCCAGCTTCCCTCGTTCTGGGAATTCTTTATCTGATTTATTGTTAGTAATCGTACTTAGTGGTGAAATTTTGGATGCTTTCCCATAAGACTAAATTGTTAAGGATCTTTTACTTCACATACTGACTTCAAAAACAAGATTTTAAAACGTTTTTTGAGAATTGTATTCTACAACAATTTTATTTATGAGGATTACTGGGAGCCATACATTTCATGCTTAATATCAATGTAGAGGGGGACCCCTTAAAAATAAAGAATTCTCTTGTACCGTGTACACAGACAGTGTTCATAACACCAGTATCAAGGTTAGTGCAGTTCATAGAGGGTGGGTCCAGTGAACTATGGAAACAATAGTAGCTAACTCATGAGATACCGTGTGCCAGGGTCTGCTCCCATTATTCTGAATGGGTTGATTGTTAGTCATAAACACTCTCCCAGAAATCTCCAAGGCCTTATCAATGTCATATCGCTTTCTACCTAAAGCAGCGAAAGTGCAGAGAATCACATGGCCCAAAGGCATGTGGCAGTTGATGGCGATCAGGCAGCAGAGGCCCTCTGGGTCACGTGGTCACTTAATTGCAGCTCTCATGTGAATCTGTTAGGGTGGTGGATACAGCCGGGCAGAGTCCAGCACACCTGCGGGCCAACATAGAATTAACTCCAAGATGTATTCAATAACAAAGCCAAATGATATTCAATAAGTATAGTGGAGTGTGAACATTTGTGTTTTGATAGACGAGGTGGGTTGTTACAGATACGTATATATGTGTGTGTGTGTGTGTGTGTGTGTGTGTGTGTGTATCTGCACTTGTAGGCACAATACTAAGTATTTAATTCAAGTCTCAAGTGCTGTAGGATATCTGTGCTCTTGCATTTTTTGGTTCAACACAATATTGCTAACTATAAACACAATGTTGTCTTGCGGAGCACCAGAACTTTTCCCAGAAGTAGGACAGACTGCCATCCAGCAGCAGCTGCTGGGCAAGCATCTAGGTAGTTTCCATCTCTTGGCAATTGTGAATATGTTACAATCAGCATGAGTGTACAAATATCTCTTGAAGATCCTGATTTTAATTCTTCTGGTTAAAAACCAAGAAGTAGAGTCATATAATAAACCTATTTTGAAATTTTATTTTATTTTATTTTGGAGTCAGTGTCTTGCCATGTAGCTCTGGCTGGATGTAAGCTCACCACATAGTCTATCCTGGCCACAGACCTACAAAGATTCACCTACCTCTTCCTCCCAAGGACTAGACTTAGATTTGTATGCCACTACACCCAGCTTTATTTTGATTTTTTTTTTGAAGAACCTGTATTCAATTTTCTCTAGAATCATTCTATGTCCAGCGATAGTGCACAGAGATTCTAATTTTTTCAACACTTGCTACTTTCTTTCTCTCTTTTCTGTTTTTACACAATGGCCTTACGAGTTGGAATGAAATGGCTTCTCATGGTTTCGATTTGTGTTTTTCTGATTGGTGATGTGGATCATTATTGCATATAATTGCTGACCGTTAAACATGAACGTGTGTGTGTGTGTGTGTGTGTGTGTGTGTGTGTGTGTGTGTGATGCATGCCTGTACAGATGTTAAGATGTGCATGTGTGGAGGCCAGAGGTCAGCAGGTGTCTTCCTCGTAGCTTTCAAGCGTATTTTTCTGAGACAGGGTCTTTCTGTGAACCTGGAGCTGACCAACTGGCTAGATTTGGCTGGCCAGCAAATCCCCCCTTTTCTGCAGCCATCCCCACTACTCCATGATTCTCCCATCTTTACTTCCCAGCGCTGATCATAGGCATACTGTTCCATTTTACTTAAAAAAAAATATTTTTACTTATGTATATGGAAATTTCCAGAAAGGATCTTCATAAAACAGATTAATAATAGTTGCCTCTGGGAAAAAGATATAGGTGGTGGATGTAAACTGGGGATTATCTTTTCATTGTTTTCTTAAGCCAGTTGGGCCTATTACTGTTCGAAAAAATAATTTCATATTTCAAGGCAGGGTTTCTCTGTGTATCCCTGGCTGTCCTGGAGCTCACCCTGTAGACCATGCTTTCCTGGACACCCCCCCTCCCCCCCAGGGCTGGGATCAAAGGTGTGGGGCGCCACTGCCGGCATGAATAACTTATTTTAAAAGCCCTCTAGGGTGTTATGATGTGCTTGAGAATTGTGTACAGTCACGGGCAGTGTGTACTCACGTTCTGCTCTTCTTACATCACAAACTCAGCGTGCTGATGTGCCCTTTGGTTTTGACAGAGACATTCGACTTATGACATGCGGCCAGCCAGCAAAGGGATGGCTCAGCGCCTGGATTTGCCAGACCTTCCCCTCTCAGGTAAATGACTGAAAACACAAGTACTTGTGTTAGTAGTGTTCATTTTTCATTGCATGCACTTGGACAAGTAATTGGTATTATTTATTTCTGCTGATTTCATCCTCTCAGGGTATGCACTGTGCCCATTAGAGCCAAATGTGCAGCTAAAGCTAGAAGAAATACCGCCTGCTTGCTGCCCTCCTCAGTGTGTGTGGATGCAAAAGTGATGACAAATTGCTTGGATTTGTTTTTCTGAATAAGCTGAATCTCAGGCACATCTTCTATTTTTTTACATTACACAAACACCCTTGTCTGGTTTTGTGTTTGTCCACTGATCCCACAGGTCTTAAAATGCATCACTTTTAGGCCTTGCAGCCTCTGAGTATCATCCCTTTCTCTTGTTGCTCTCTATCCTTTTCAAATTCAAATCCTGACAGTACTGTGGAGGTTGTAATTAGTGGGCCTCACAGGCCACATTCTCTTTCCTGCGGGGCCTCCAGTGCTGGAGGTGCAGAGGTGTAGCCATTAAAAAAGAGGGTAAGCAAAGTCCTGCTGGGCCTCAAGTCTCTTGGCACTGCCACTCCCATCCCAGCTTTGACTTTGTGGTGCTTTGATTTCTTTATCTCTAAGATAGAAACATTTCTGGGACTGGAGAGGTTAAGAGTGCTTGCTGCTCTTGCAGAGGACCTGAGTTTGCTTCCCAGCACCCACATGAGCTGTCTCACCACCACCTGTAACTCCAGATCCAGGGGATCCAACAGCCAGTCATGTGTGTAAACTTACACTCATGTGTATACACAGAACTTAAAATTGATCTTAAAAAGAAAAGAAGCGACTTTACTTCAAAGGCTCATTTGAAGGATTGTATTAATTCATTTAAAACACCACGGACTCTGCCTTGTGTGTTGTGGGCATTGTAGAAATACTTGCTGTTAATCACTTTCCTTACTGTTGTCTGCCGAACCTGTTAACATTCTCTCTCTCTCTCACACACACACAAAAGAACAACAGCGTTTTGGGTCTAGTAAATGTTAGTGAGTTTTCTTCAGGTGTGGTTCCATGCCTCGCACCAAGCTCATATCACAGTGAAGTAAGACACAAAAAGTTATGCTTACTCTGTAACTTAAGTACGCAATAGTCTCACATCTAAAAACACCCTTAGCTTGCTTAAATAATAATACTTTTCTTAAGTTGCCTTCAGCAACTTAGCATCTTTTTCCTGACAGAGGGTCTTCCTTGGTGTTGATAGCTACTGACTTAGGTCAGATGGTGCCTGCTGAGATAATGGTGGCAATTTTTAGAATAAGACACCAGTGATGCTGACCACATCACCTCACCTTGACTTTCCCAAGGGCTTTCTCCAACATAGCACTTCTTTCAGGGTCAGGGTCACTGCCCTCAGAACGTGGCTGGGTTTATGTCATGCTCTGAATCCTTTGTTATCATTTCAAATGTTCACAACACCTTCACCAGGCAGAGATTCTGCCTCAAGCAATAGCTTTCTTTGCTCCTCCGTGAGGGACAACTCACCACCCATTAACATTTTCTCCTGAGATGTCTGACAGCAGTTCAGTCTCTCCCTTGGGCTCCATTGCCAGTCTAGGGCCTTTGCTGTTTCCATGCCTGTAGGGATCCCCACCACTGATGTCTGGGACCCCTCAAAGTCATCACTGATGGCTGGGATCAGCTGCTTGGATCACCACATTCCTCGTGACATCTGGAGCCCTTCATCTTTCCAGAAGTGGTCTGTTTATTTTGCTCAGATCCCAGGAAGAATCATCATCTGTGGCATTACTCCCTGATTTATAGGCTAGGGAGTGGCAGATATGTCAGGAGGCATGCAAAGAACATTAGTTTTGTACATCTCCATCGGTGTTCTTGAATGACTAACCAGGTGCACCGGCAGTGGGCAGTGAGGGTGGTGGTGTTGGTTTGGTTCATTATTACTGCACCTATGTATAATGAATGTGTAAATATGCATGTACCACAACACATATGTAGAGGTCAGAAAATAACTTAGTGAAGTTGGTTCTCTTCTTGCTGTTTTACATGGCTTCCAGGAATTGAACTCAAGTCATCAGGTTCACGCAGCAAGCATCTTTACCCACTCACTGATCTGTCCTGTAGGCCCTGGGCAGAGTGTACTATTATTATTATTATTATTATTATTATTATTATTATTATTATTATTATATTACTATTAGTAATATAATTAGTAATATAATTAGTAATAGTATTACTATTACTATTATTATTAATACATATATATGTGTGTGTGTGCCTTAGTGTATAGGTGTGCAGTGCTCCAGGAGGCCAGAAAAGGATGTCAGACCCTAGGGAACTGGTACAGACAGCTGTGAGCTGCTCTTTGAGCGCTGGTAACTGAACTCAGACCTTCTGCAAGAGCAGCCAGTGTTGCTAACCTGCGCCATCTCTCCAGCTCCACAGAGAGGTTTCAGAGGGGATTTGTGCACATGTGTGAGAGCTGTAGGTCTTAACTGTGGGCTTTAAGGACTTCGTAGGAGTGTTGTAAAGAGATACACTGCCACCCAGTCTTGGCTGTTCCATTTAGGCAGAACTGATTTAATACCATCCTTAAGTACCACGGGGCTTGGTAAATGAGAATGGCTGCGACCTAAAGGCATTCAAGTCTGAGCACCTCTTCCCCAGAAATGGAGGGTGGAGCCCAAAGCCTGTCTGGCTTAAATCTGTACATCATTAAGTAATATAGTGTGCTCATTGTGCAGTGTAAAATAGGGAGTAGCTTACGTGCATGAACAGTACTAGGTGAATTTTTTAAACTGTGGTAAAAAGCTATACAACACAAAACTCACTATTTTACTGTACTCCATGGGAGATCACAGTTTTTATGTCTTTTTCGGGCTGTCCTACCAACTTCTAAGTTTCTTTATTATCTAAAGAACCATTCTTCTGATTGACAAGATAAATAGTAAAGTTGAGACCACAATTATTGGTGGGGAGCTCACTTGACTGCTCTCCTCCTTTTTACCCCCCAGGCACCTGTCTCCGGGTGATGATTGTATTTACTATAATAAAGGACTACATAGTGAAAATTGTTTGCTTCCAGCCATTTCCAGCAACTGCTTGTCAACATTGAGGTCATCCTTAACTGCAGATTAATGTTCTGTTTTTGTTGTTCTCTTCAGTGATGTAGACCTGTTTTTCTCTGCTATTTAGACCTAATTGGCCTCACCCCCAACATCATGCCCATAATTGATGGCTATTAGCTGAAGAGGTACTGTTTTCTTCTGTGACTGTGGCGACAGGAGATGGCCCCAGCTGTCCTGTGATGTCCAGCTAATCACCCGAGTCCCACAGCTCCCGCTTCCACTCCATATAAGCCAGTCTTAAATATTTTCTTCTTGTTTCTGCTTTTATGATCCTTTGAGAAATCTGAAGAATTCAGCTCATTTTTTTAGTACCTGTTTTCACTAATGCTAATATGACAGCAAAAAGGAGTCTTAAAAAGAGACTTTTGCTCAGTTTTTAGTGAACTATAAGCCTGTTATTGTGAAAACTTTATATGGGCTATTGTTCTTGGTTGCCAGTTTTTTGTCTGCTGCACCTGATATGTTTCCTTACCAGCTTTTTCTCTGTGCTACACAGTGTAAAGCAAACAAACCAGCTAGTGACAGCGCTAGAGGAGTGGGTGTCCTAACTGGGTAGTTGCACAGGCCCTTTAAAGGCTCCATACTTCACTTAACACTCTGATAACTGCCTGAAAATTTATATTCATTTCTGAACCAAGAGCTGCTTTGGCTCTAGGCTCTTTCTGTTTCTTTTCCTTACATATATGGGTGTTTTGCCTGCAGCTATGTTTGTGCACCACTTATGAGCCTGGTGCCTATAGAGGCCAAAAGAGGGTATTGGATCACTCAGAACTGGAGTTACAGATGGTTGTGAGCTATCACGTGGATGCTAGAAATTGAACCCAGCCAGTGCTTATAACCACTGGTCATTTCTCCAATCCCACTAGATCCCCTTTTAAAAATATTTTTTCTTTTTATGTATTTATTGTGGTGTGTGTGTGTGTGTGTGTGTATGTGTGTGTGTGTGTGTGACTGTGAGTGTGGATGTACACATCTGTGAACTTAGGAGGAGGCCAAAAGAGTATATTGAGTGTTCTTATTCACCTTTGAAGAAGGAGCTCTCCCCTCGGTCTGAGGGTCTCATTTTCTTGGCTAAGCTGTGTACTAGCAAGTACCAGAAATTATCTTTGTTTTCATTCCCGTCAGAGTTGGGGTTTCAAATGTGCACAGGACACCTGGCTTGCTGGGATCTAAACTCATGACTTCACAGTAAGCTCTCTGAACAACTGAGCCATCCACCCTGCACAAGGTTTTACAGAGTATGTAGGTAGTCCTGCCTGAGAACTGTTTCTAGAAAATATGTCCCTATTTGCATTTTTTATTATTCCAGAAAGGAAAAAATTGTGTGCGCGGGTATATGTATGCGCTTATGCACATCGCTATGTAGATCTGTCTTCCTACTTGAGAATAAAGTGTGATAACCAGTCACATTTCTCCCCTTTAGAGATAGCTGACAGTGTTGTTATTCACACAGATCTTCTGAAGGGAAGGGCCGAGGATCGGAAGTCGGACCCTTACCTCCGAAAGAGCCCCTCACTGGAGTCCCTGAGCAGACCCCCCTCCCTGGGCTTTGGGAACAGCAGACTACTGAGTGCGTCCACCGGGGGTCTGAAGCCAAGCAAGCTCAGGTACTAAATTTTAAAGTTTGAGGAATGAGATGAAGTCGTTCTCCTATTTACACTGCCTCATCCGCAGTCAGCTTACTTCTGAATGGCAGGGGTTAAGATGTGGAACCCACCTTCAGCAAGTCTGGTAAGAAGACACTGCATAGTGTTTGGGACACAATCAAATGAAAGGATGTTCCTTTTTAAGCAGGGGCTCTGCGATGTATCAGTAAATACAGGTTCTTGTCATGCAAGCCTGATGACCTGAGCTCAATCACCAGAACCCATGTGAAAGAAAGAACCACCGCCACAAAGTTGTCGTCTGACTTCCACAGTATGCATTGGTACACACACATTATACACATACACACACAAACACAAAATAGTGAGGTTTTTAAAAAGTTAAAAGTTTAAGCCAAGTGCGGCTGGAGAGTTGGCTCAGTGGTTAAAAGCACTTGTTGGACCCAGGTTCAGTTCCCAGCACCAACATCAGATGGCTCTCAGTTGCCTAAAACTTCATTTCCAGGGGATTCACTACCCTCTTCTGGCCTCCAGAAACACATGCACGCTTGTGGTACACATATATACACTCAGGCATATAAATATACCCATAAAATCAATCAATCTTTAAAGTTTAAGCAAAAGTATTTGGGTGTTGTTGGTTGGATCAGGAACTCTAGAGAGGAGGGGATTTCTGCCAGTAGCTGTAAAGGTGCCAGGGCGAATCAACAATGGAACTCAACCTAGGGCCTCAAGAAGGCCCTGCCAAACATACGGAAGCCTCCCAGCCAATCCAGGTAGATGGCTAGGGAGTTACAGCTGGAAAGGCAGGTTGGAGCCCTGTTGCAAACAGTCTGCATTGCTAAAAAGGAGCTTCATACTTATTTTGGTAAAGTAGTGGGGAACCACTAAGTCTGTGGGATTGTGTTTTTGTTTTTGAGTAGTGATTAAGAGCAGACCTGCTATTTAAGAAAGATTATTGAGAACACAGTGGCATAGAAAGAGGATTAGAGAGACGTTTTGAGATCAGTGTTTAAAGGGGTGTTAGCGAAGATGTGTAGATGCAGCAGAAGACAGAACGAATAGTGAAGCCGGCAAGGTGGTTGCTAAAAGCCTATTCTTGCATCCATGCCCCTCTTCCCTGCCAGTGCCCCTGGACACCAACATCCCAGCAAACTTATTTCACCTGTATCCCCTCTCCCCGGAGTCTTCCTGTCTTTTCCAGTTGTTGGTGCCCACTGCAGACCTCTCAGAAGTATGATCCAGTCATCACACTCTGCATCCTGCTCTTGTGGGTCTGCACAGTTTAGCTCCATCCCACTCACCTATGATGACTGCTTAGCCTTCACTCCAGGATCAACAGAAGACTAACAAATTTACCATTAAATATAGTAAATATGAGATGGCTCAGTTGGTAAGAGCATCTCCCACAAAAGCAAAGAACCTAAGTTCAAATCCCACTTGGGTATCTTTCACTCATTTGGGTGTATAACTCAAGCACTTCTTTTATAGTGTGAATAACTTGCTGTCATTTCATGGGTAGTAAATATTTCATCCTACATTTGGGTATCTTGCCTTGCCTTATGCTCCACAAACAGTTCACCCATTGACAAGGCCACAAAACCGTCTACTTCAAGGCTGAGAGCCTTACAGTAGGTACTGTAATCATCCATATGTGTCTTGTGGGAAAGTTTGTGAATTGAAATACATTCAGATCCTGTATCTTTGGATGTAACCAATATCTAATCCCAAATAGGTAAAATCAGATGTTTCAAGAAGTTTATAAAAGTCCCAGGTATAGATCATCATGCTTGTCTGCAGATTAACTAATAGAAACAGGTTTGAAGGACCATAATCAGGACTACTTTCAAATCAATACTATAAACACACAGGAAACGCTATATATATATATATATATATATATATTAATATGCTACTTATAGTATCCTTTTCTTCATAAAAAGTCAGATTAGTCATTTTAACGTCTTATTTCTTTTACATTCATGTTATAAAGATTAACCTGTGACAGAATAAAATCTTTTAGATTCTTTAAGTTACACATTTATCTTTATTTGTCTGTGTGTGTGGCAGTGTACATGTGGAAGTCGGAGGTCAACTTCTACCACATAAGTGTCAACAAGGTTTGAAGTCAGATCACTGGACTTGGCAGCAAGTGCTTTTACCTGCTGAACCATCTTGCCAGCCCTGGAATTGATTGCATTAGAAATTTAATCTGTAGCTATGCAGAGTCACACACACCTGCACTACAGTTCTAACACTTAAGAAGCTGAGGTAGGAGAAGCTGAGTTCAAGGTCAGCCCGGGGTACATAGTGAGTCCCTGTCTCAAAACAGAATAATTTTTCAGCCTCTATTACTAAATATCTTGTGTGAGAAACAATTTAATAGTGTAACTTTGGGTGTTCTCTTGCTCTTCACTTTATTTTTTGGTACATGGAGAAGCAGTCATCAAATTATACAAAGAAGTTTTTATGCATATTTCAAGTACTTTCCTTAAAACCTCTCTACATTAGTTGATATTTCTGAGCTCTAGAATCATCTATTCCTCTGTTAAAATTATTGAAAAACAAATTAAGGCTCTAGAGAGATGCTGTGGCTGGTAAAGTATCTGCTGTACAAGCCTGAGGACCTGAGTTTGGTCCCCACCCCTTGCCTTGTCTATAACCCTAATGTGGGAGCAGAGGGGTGTGGCATGACAGTGGTGGGTCCCCAGAGCTCTGGCCAGACAGTCTAGCCAATCAGTGAGCACCGAGTTCAGAGAGCAGTTAATGGAGACAGCTGATATCAACCTCTACCTTCCATATGCGTGTACATAGGCATGCGCATTCACGCATGTGTTCTCTCTTTCTGCACACATACAAAATGTTTTATTACGTTTAATAAGCTGGCAGTAAATTAACAAGAAAAATATACAAAGCGTTGTTAATGTGCAGACCATAGGAACCACGTACAAAGTGTGAGATTGAATGAAAAGGTCGACCAGTTAAAACCTAAATAGCCTCTTCAGGCAGAGGGGAAAGGGGCATCAGGTGGGTTTTAGGACAGGAGTACATTCGTTTTTGAGGAGGCGGCTTGGAACATAGCTCCTCTGTGCTCTAGTTGTAGAGTCTGACCCAGGCTTTCTTCCTCTGTTGATCTGGTTGTTAAATGAAGGCTGAAGGCAGCTGTATTGGTCTTTTCCTGGACCTGGTCAGGTACAGGGGAGAACTTTGCAAAAAGTCTGTCTCCACTCTGGGAAGGGGAAGAAAGGATGGACAGGAGGACCTTTTATTAATCAGCTTTTCATCATATAACCTGAGATGACTAATCTATCCAGAGAAGATTTGTTTTCACTCATGGACTAAAGGTTACAATCCATGATCTTTTGGCCCTGTTGCTTTGGACCTGAGGTAAGGTGAGGTTATACAATATCATAATTGCAGTAATTTTTCATACTATGGAGTATTCCATGAGTGTGACTAGACCTCAACTTATTTGTTTGCTTGTTGGCATGTAGTTGGTTATCTTTTTACTATTGTTAGAGTGCTACCTTGAGCTTTCTTGGGTCAGTGTCTCAATTATATCTATCTACCTTACGAGTGGATTGATAATTCCTACCCCATTCTAGTTTTTTCCCCCCCCCTTTGGCGAGTCTTTCTTTCTCTGCTGTCCTATGGATGGTGTTTGGGAAATAGAATACAGTTCAAAACTCCTATAGCAATGTAGTTCTGACTTCATGACCCCATTCTAGATGACACTGTATAATCTTAAATCTCTTCTTAACATTTGAGTAATTTTGGCTAGCATAAAAATTAGTATCAGTACTGAGAGAGACAAGGATGGGCTCTAAACTTGCTCTTAGGATGCTAAGATGCTACAGTAATGATGTCATTTCAACTTTGACTCATCCTGTGCTCATATCCGTGGTCCATAAACTGGGGAAAGACTCTGAGTCATTCATTTTATTTTACGAATTTTCCTTTCCTCTGTACTTCCAGCAAATCCTGTAACAGCTAGTCTGCCGTTTCACTAAGCCCTTTTCCTTTATTTTTTGTATGTTAAAGTCTAGCCCCGTATAGGCATCGTATACTCCAATGATGTTGTATTTCACTGAACAAAAGGCTAGATGAATAAACTTTAAAGATTTAAAAAAAAAATGATGTGTACATGCCTATGCCTGCATGTATGTTTGTGTCAGGTGTATGCAGGAGCCCTCAGAAGTCAGAAGACAGTATCAGATCCTCTGAAAGTGAAGTTACTGGCAGTTGTGCGCTGTCCTGTAGTGTTGGGAACAGAACCTGTGTCCTTGTAAGAGCTCATAACTGCTGAGCCTCTCTTCAGACATTCGGTGGATTAAAATATATATATATATATCCTAGGATTTATAGTTGTCAAGAAGTACAATTTAGCTTTTTCTTGTATAACTTGACCCATAATATATTTTTAATGTGACTAATTTGGCTGCTTCTTTAGAGTACAGCCAAATTAGTTTAGATATACCTACACTTTGGCTTTTTTCTAATCTAGTTTTTTTCTTATATATTAGAGGGTTTTTAAAAGCCAGCATCTTGCCAGACGTGGTAGTACACACCTTTAATCCCAGCAGTTGGGATGTGGAGGTAAGAAGATCAGGCATTCAGACTAATCCTTGCCTATTGAGAGTTCAAGGCCAGCCTGGGCCATATGAGACCTCATCTCAAAAGAAAAACAAAAACAACCATCCCACCAGCATCCTCCGTAACTGTGTGTTCTTCTTTGTAATCAGTGTTGAAAGAAGAGACCCTCTGGCAGCCTTGGCCCGGGAGTATGGTGGCTCTAAGCGTAACGCACTCCTGAAATGGTGTCAGAAGAAGACAGAAGGTTATGCGGTAAGGAGCGGTGCTGCCAGTTGGGCACCCATGGTCCTGTGCCAGGACATGTTCCATGTGTGCATGTACTTGGTAGCCCAGTTTGCATATAATAGCAACTGTGTCCCCTCAGCCATGACTTCCAGGGAGGGTAAGATATTTGCGTATTGCGCTGTGCAAAGGCCCCAGATGAGGAAAGGAGAGGGTGGGGGCAGAAGGTGACAAACTGTATCTGTACATAGTCACATGTGCTGTAGGAAGGGAACTTTCTGCCTCAGTTCTTCCTGGACAGAACTGTTAACTAAAGCCTCTTCCCAAAGAGGGCAACTCTTCCTAATTTGCATAAAAGCTTTCAAAGTTTTTCCAACTGTTTTTTTTTTTTTTGCTTTAAGAGTTTTCATTTAGGTTAGTTTTGTTTGTCTAGGATGGTATTTACTTTCTGAGAAGAGCAGACAAGGAAGTGATACCTGATATAGGTTGAAACTTTTATTATGAAATAACATACACAAAGATAAAAGTGCATGGATTAGGGTGTCATTAATTATTATGAAATGAAAACCCAGTCAGAAACCCCACACAGAAGCAGCGTCTCCAGTTCCCTCAAGCCTGTCACGACTTTCCAGCCAGAGCCTCCTACCACTCCCCAAGGTGCCTGTCTGCCTCACTTCTTCTCCTTGCACTTTTCTGTAAGGGTTTGAGTGTTTAAGAAGTGCTGTGTTTTCTCAGCTTTTAGATGAAAGGAACAAAAAGCTATATAGTTGCATTTGGATTTTCACACAGTATTAAGTTAGTAAGAGTTGTCCTTTATTGCTGGAACTTATTTTCCTTACTATTTAGATATATATGATTTTTGTCTTTACTTACCTACTCTGTTGATGTTCTTATCTCTGCTGGAAATGCATTCAGGAGTGTATCAATGGACCTTGCTGCATGCACATATTCAAATAGAGTAGATGAGGCCAAACAGATTTCTAGGTGCCTGTGTTGTCCATCCTACCATCAGTTCATGGGAGGTCTGTTTCTGTGTGTTCTCACCGAGCATTCTGTTTTCTCAACCATGGACATTGGGATAAAGGTGTAGTGGCATCTCATTATGGTTTTGAGTTTTGTTAGCCTGTTGGGTAATGAGATTGAGCATATGTTTACTGGTCATTTGGACAGTCTCTCAGTAGAGATTATCTAATCAGGCCTTTCATCCTTATTTATTTACTGTGCATTTATTTTTGGTCCTGAGAATGGGGTATAGAGCCCCCTCCATGTAAAGCATACATTATACTACTGAGATGCTTGCCAACCTCCTGCCCATATTTAAAATAATTTTCTCTTTTTTCTTTATTGTTTTTAAAGAATTCTTTGTATGGGTTGGAGAGATGGCTCAGCGTTTAAGAGCATTCATTGCTCTTCTAGAGCACCCAAGTTCAGTTCCCAGCACCCACTTGATGGCCACAACCATCTGTTCAAGGGCATCTGACACCTTCTGATACACGTTCAAACATGCAGACAAAACAGTTGTATTTAGATAAAGTAAAACAGAGACTGAGGAATGCAGATCTCTGAGTTCTAGTTAGTTCTGTTGAGTCAGTGAGTTGAGAGGCAGTGGAGGGGAACTGAGTTCATGGCAGTTCAATATGTGGAATTCAGAGGCAGTTTTACTAGGAGTTTTACAGAGACAGGTTGAGGAGAAAACAAGTTGGACATGGGTAAAGACAGATGAGCAAGAGAATGAGAAGCCAGAAGATTAGAACAGATTGCTAGAGTTAGCTAGAGGACAAGTGAGCAATTCACTCAGAAGCTGAGAGCAGCCAGTTTCAATCAGTCAGCCAGACAACTGAGCCATCCAGCCAGCCAGATTCAGAAAGAGCTAGAAAGGATAAGCTATTTAGCAAAAAAGTCTCAGAGGCTGAAAACATTCTAGGCCTAGATAAGATTGTAAAGAGGCTAGAAGCTTCCAAAACCTAGGCCTAGGTTCGCAGATGGAGGCACTAAACCTCTGAGACAACAATTACATCAGGAGAATAAAAGTTAATATTACAATATTCCTTGGTTCTTTTTCTTTTTGCTAAAACTTTTGAGGATTCTGATCTATAACACACCTTTCTAGTCTCAAGCTTTTGAAAGTAGCCAGGACCGAAAAAGAAAGAAGCTAGAAAGAAACCATAGCTTACCTAAGTCCCAGCACAATTGAGACGCAGAACTGAGATTCTCTTTGTGGTGTTAACCATGCAATAGTTTAAAATCAGGATCCAACCCATAGTAATATTACCTTTATCGTGGTATCTTTTGAATTCTCCTTTTATATCACAAAACTTAAAATGTAATCATATTTGTGACCAATAATAACAAAGGATTCCAGAGGACATACTTGCTTATAGCCCATTTTTGGTTTACCTGGGTAAGCGCCATTCTAAGGGATGGACTGTGCCACAAATGGAAACCACTTCCATGACAGCATCCCTCCACTTGTCTGTCATGTTGCTGAGGAGATGGAGAAGCAAGAGAAGCAAGAAAACCCTGATTTTTATGTGTGGTGGGAGTTAGCATCAAAAAATATAGGAATAAAAAAAATGGAAGAAAACAACAAAAAGGATGATTAGGCTTGCCTGTGGCTGGGCCCAGCACGGTCATCTCTGGCTGGATGCTATCATTTTTCTACTGCAGAAGTGAAGCCGGGGAGCAGCCAAGAGGAGTTAAAAGACAATTACAATTTTCAGAAGAAATTGGCTCTTTGTGGTGTGATGTTATAATTAGATGGCAGGGAGGAGATGAGAGTATATTTCCAGTCAGTTGAGAGAAAAATATTTCCTGCTCTAGGAAAACTTTTTTGTTGTTTTTGTAAATATCATGGGTTAATTTTTCAAAATACTTTGTTTGATGAAACCCACAACTTACTGTGTCTGAAGAGTATTTTTCACTCATCGTTAAATGTCTGTAAGTTCAGAAAGAAGTATAAATCACTTATGTGTCTGCCTTTCATAAGCTATTCTCTAGCTAGACCCGTTCACACGGTTCTCTGGAGTGCTCTGTACTGACTCTCAGAATTAAGAAGACACAACCAACTGTCAAAAGTTCAGATGGTTTTGTAATCTCTTTCAAGACCAGTAGCCATACGGGTTTTACTTTAAATACACTACCTGGCCAGGTGATGGGAGGTCTTTAAATACCAGTTCTCTGGCCCTGGGTCCTGCCTGACAGTCAGGACATAGCATTGAGTACTAGAATGCTGAGGTGGCCATCACATGCCTTGTGGTGCTCTGTAGTGAGGTTGAAGACTGCAGGTGCTACAGCCAGCTGGGCTGAGGACAGTGCGCTTTTCCTTCTGCCATCCTTCACCGACGGACCTTGACCTGGATTGCATGGATCTCTGCACAGCCCTCTGTTACCTCCTAAACAGCGCCAGGCATAGTTGTGTCACATGCACCTTGGCTGTGTTCCTAGGGCTCTGCCACGTCCTGGACTCTGGTGGACATTGGTGATTCAGTCCAGGTCAGGGCAACGTTAGCAAGTGTGACATCTGCTAAGACTAATTGACTTTGGAAGCTGGTTCTTCCCAGAGCCCCCAGGTAAGAGTCCTGCCCCCAGTGTGGAAGCAGAAACAGAGGAAGTTGCTAAGCAAATGCTGTTTAAGCTACTCCATCTGTTGTCAGGTCATACACAAATTTCACTGCTCCTTCTGCAGATTTGGATGTTTGCTTCCGATAAATGATGGACAAGGACGGTCTTTTCTTCTAGCAATCAGTATTCCTGCCATTCATGTACACCTGACTTCTTTTTCAGTATGCACACTCTTGGCATGTTGAGGTACATAACCGTCAAGAGTACCCTTTAGGCTGGGGTTCTCTATGCTGCCCATATATCTGAATTGCCTGAATATCTGCCCTAGCCCTTTCAGGTTGCTACAAAAAAATACCACAGATCAGATGATTTATAGACAATAGGAAGTTACTTTTCAAAGTTAAGCGTTGGGAAATCAAAGATCAAGGCAGATCTGTGATGAAGAAGCTCTGTTCCTGTTTCATAGGTGACACCTTTGGCTGCGTTATTGCATGGTAGAAAAGGGTAAGACAATTGTCAGGCCCCTTTTGGTAAGGCCCCAATTTCCATCAGGGAACCCAACCGTCTTCCAAAGGCCCACCTCCTAAAATCATCGCCATGGTGACCTGCGGACTGAGCTACAGTCACAGCCCTTCTCCCATATCTGTAGTGGGGTAATTTAAGATGCCTGGGGAAGGGTGATTGAGTAAGAAAACCCATCACCAAGATCATTTTCTCCCAGAGCCTTCCACTAGAGTCACTGTGGTTCACATTTTATCTTCCCATTTTCATCAAGGCTCAATCAAAGTTTATGGCTTATTTCATAGGGACTGAGACCAGAAAGGAGTAAGATTCTTCATACTACCACAAGCCATATCAAGGCTGTGAGAGGAACAATAGTTAAAAACTGAATGCTGTGCTCTAGGTTGAGTGCTTGTCATATGCAAGACCCTGAGTGTAGAACCCAGCACCACACCCCTGGACTGGGATCAGAATGCTGCTGTCAGCATAGATTAGTGTTGCTGCAGCAGCAGCAGCGGCAGCATCAACTTCTAATAGTTTTGATTCATGGCAGTTCTGGGGGAGGCGGAGTATCATAGGGTCACTTCCAAAGCTGACCCGAGGCAACTGATTATTGAACATGAAGTAAAGAAACTAGTTTTAGTCTACAGTTAAAAGGTCACTCGTAATTATTCATGCTGTTTATGGAAAAACAAACAACCCACCACCACCAAAGCATCACAGCTCTCACCTCAAAAGGAGTAAGAGATAGTCTATTCTAGACCAAAGTCCAGTGATCACATCTCAGGAAACACAGAGCTAGGTTACCCCAGGTTCCTGTCCCAGGGTAGAAGCAGTTTTTGTGGAGCCTTATAGTAAAGAGCAAAGAGCACCAAGGCATTTAAAATACGTGGTGGAAGCATGAGAGAGGAAGTTAAAGCACGTCCTTTCCTATAGCACGCAGATGCTATCTGATAACATTCTTAGCT